AAGTCAGAAGCAAAACACTGTTGAGAATAGAAAGGGTAAAAGGAGAGAAAGTGAGCAGGATAAATGGGGAAAATAGGATGGAGGGAAATACCTAGTTGGTAATCATTACCATTTAAAAAATTTTTACAGTGAGTTTCTCTGATAAAGACTTCATTTCTCAAACATATAGAAAAATGAATCAAATCTATAGAAATAAGAACAATACCTCAATTGATAATGGTCAAAGGATATGAACAGGCAGTTTTCTTTCTTTTTTTAACCTGTATAAATAGCAGTTTTTATTTTTACTTTTTTATTTTTCTTAATTTATTTATTTTTGGTTTTCAACATCCACTTCCATAAGATTTTGAGTTTTAAATTTTCTCCCCCTCCCTGTTCTTCCCCTCCCCTCCCCAATGGTCTACAATCCCATATAAGCTCTATATATACATTCATGTTAAGTGTATTTTCCCATTAGTCATGATGTAAAGAACAATTAGAACTAATGACAGGAACTACAAGAATGAAGCAATACAAAGTAATCAAAGCTATCTATAGTCATATAAAAAAATGCTCTAAATCACTATCAATGAAAGCAGTGCAAATTAGAACAACTCTGAGCTACTACCTCACACCTGTTACACCCGCTAATATGACAGAAAAGGAAAATGACAAATGTTGGAGACTAAAACACTAATGTACTACTGTTGAAGCTGTGTACTGATTCAACCATTGTGGAGAGCAATTTGTTAACTATGCCCAAAGGGCTATAAAACCAGGTATATACCCTTTGACCACTAACTAGGTCTGTATCCCAAAGACATAAAAGAAAAAGGAAAAGGACCTATGTGTACAAAAATATTTTGGGGAGCTGCACGCAGCTCTTTTAAGTGGTGGCAAAGAAATGGAAATTGAGGGGATGCCCATCAATTGGGGAATGGCCAAACAAAGTTGTTGTATATAATTGTGATGGAATACTATTGTGCTTTAAGAAATAATGAGCACGACACTCTCAAAAAAAGATGAAAAGACTTACATGAACTGAATGCAAAGTGAAATGAGCAGAACCAGGAGAACGTTGTACACAGTAACAACAATATTATATGATGATCTACTATGAATAACTTAGCTATTCTCAGCAATACAATGACCCATTGTCCATCTCCAGAAAAAAGAAATGGTAGAGCTTGTATGTAGATCAAAGATACTTTTTCTTTACTTTCCTTATTTTTCTTTTGTCTGTTTTTTTTCACAGAATGATTTACATGGAAAGGCATTCTGCACAACTATACATGTATAACCTATGTCAAATTGCTTGCCTTCTCAATGGGGGGGGAAGGGAGGGAAAGACAGAATTTAGAACTCAAAATTTGAAAAAAAAAAGAATGATAAAATTGTTTTATGTATAATTGGGAAAAATGAAATATTAAAAAAGATTTTAAAAAATGTTCAAGAATAATAATTCACCTCATTGTTATGTTCAAAGTCACACTGCCCAATTAGCATGCTGGCATATTAAAGATAGGGACTGGACCAGTGATTTCATTTGTATAGGAAACTCCATGATGAAGAAACATCGTCTACCAATGTAAGGTAGCCCTTTCTCTAAAACTTGGTGTCTTAGAGAGTTGCATGGAGAGCACTGAGAGGTTAAATGATTTGCCCAAGATAACACTGTATGTTTCAAAAGAAGGACTTGAACATAGGTCTCCCTGGTTTCAAGAAAAGCTCTTTACTATGACATACTGCCTCTGTGCTTGCATATTAATGACAACAAAACCTCCTTCTTACCTGAAAGTACACAAGTATAATTTTCTAGCTATATTTTTACACATCATATGAAAAGCCATAACAGTCTCATCATAGAAAAAATGTATATATTTTCAGTTTATGTGGTAAATCTTTTAATTGGTCAACAAATTAAGAAGTCACAAAATTTCATAGATAAATAATAAATAATTTATGATTGCTATCAAGGAACTTATTTATGTCTGCTAAGGAAATAAGCTGTTGTTCAGTCCTGTCTGACTCTTTGTTACCCCATTTGGAGTTCTTTTTTTTTTTTTGCTCTTAGGCAACTGGGGTTAAGTGACTTGCCCAGGGTCACACAGCTAGTAAGTGTCAAGTGTTTGGTTTGAGGCCGCATTTGAACTCAGGTCCTCCTGACTTCAGGGCTGGTGCTCTATCCACTGCGCCACCTAGCTGCCCCCCATGTGGAGTTTTCTTGAAAGATACTGAAGTGGTTTGCCATTTCCTTCTCCAGCTCATTCAACAGATGAGGAAACTGAGGTAAAAAGGGTTAAGTGACGTGCCCAGGGTCACAGGGTTAGTAAGCATCTGAGGCCACATTAGAACTCAGAAAGATGAATCTTTCTGACTCCAGGTCTGGCACTTGAGTATCTACTTCACCATCAGGCTAATCAAGGAAACCTGTGATCCAATCCTAGCTAACATTTCCTACCTGTATAATTCAGGGCAAATGACAACCTCTCTGGGACTCAGTTTCATCTTCTGCAAAACGAAGAGGTTTGACCAAATGACCTCTGAAGTCCCTTCTCCTTCTTCTATCTCCATGACCTTAAGAACCAAAGAACCCTAAATAAATGTCAACTACTATTAACTTCCCTCAAGAAGCTTAGATTTTTAAGGTTGAAAATACATAGGAAATCTACTGGAATAGACATTAAATTAGAACAAAATAAAAACTTATCTTCCATTCCATAGCCAACAGGAACTCTTTAAATCACTTAGGAGGTAGCATATTGTTAATATGAAAATGTGGTGCTAATAGCTTAGTACATTATGCAGCATACAGCCTTAAATGGAACTCTGTGATCTTATTGACATGGGGACTATCGCTACTGAACACAACTTTTTCACATTTTTTCATCTTGTAGAATTCCTGCAGATGTCTTTACATAAACACTTTATTAATAATTCACTTGACTTGCTGGAAATCTTTCATTCATTTATTCATTTACTATTTTGGAAGAAAGTATAATAATATATTTTAAAGTTTACAAAAATATTTTTCTTACAACTCACTGAAGTACTTGGGTTACCCATTAGTTAGTCATTTTTTAAAAATGTAATCATAATGAATCTCCCCAGAAAGATATGGAAGTCTAACCTTCAGATAAATATTATGTATATACTTGTATGATTATATGTGTACATATATACATGCATAAAAATATGTTATTGTATCTAGAGATTAATTTATTATGTTATTGCTTATAAACAGGTCAAAATTGAACCCATAAATTACTTTACAACAAGAAAGTTCTCTCTTACTGAAATAAAACTATAAAACAAATTAATCCAAGAAAGCTGGGGTTCAGGCTTTTTTCATTGCTCTCCATATTCAAATAAAGTTTACAGGATCATACTCAACAACAAAAAAGAAACCAAACACCTTGGAAAACATTTCTAAAGCAATAAATCAAATGTAGAAAATATGTATGACATTTCTTTGTGTATAAATTTTCACACATCATGTTCCAGAAAAAATGCAGGGTGTTATAAACATGTTTTTCATTATTAAATTATCTTTCAAGAGCCTAGGATCACTTTTCAAAAACATATTATCAATAAATTATAATTCCTAAGAATCAAATAGAATCTATTGCAGAAAAATCAGTTGAATGCTTCTCTTGCATTAAAAAGTTTTTAATATAAACTCTAGACTTACTTAAGTATTATTTCATGAAGAACAATGTAACTAAAGTAGGTTTGTTTGAAGTGTGGTTAGTAAGTTAATTCTTATATTCATCTTTTGTTAATATTAAATGATTTGTTTCTCTACTCTTTTACAACAGTAGTTTCCAAAGAAATATGCACAAAATACACAAAAAGCAGTATGTTCTTGTTAAAGCAGCAACATTATGTCTTGAAATTTCTCTTCTATAATCCCCCCAATTTTCCAAATCACTGTTTTAGCTTTTCTATGTGTCAATTACACTCTGAAAGGACTGCTGCTAAGAAATATGCCAGAGTGTTGAGTATCTATATTTTTTATTTGTGTCAGTACCAAAAAGTCTTGGAATTAATACTGAAGAAATTTCAAAGAACAGAACTGAATATCACCAGCAACTTAGCCTTTTTTTTTAGAGGCACTAATGACAGTTGTACTATGAGAAACTTCAGATAAGAATCTTTCCCCCTTATGAGACTGGATAAACTATACACGTGTCAAATGCACAAGATTTAGTGAGTGGGCAGTGGCTTTTACACGTCAGGGGGATGGAGTGGTTGGTTATTCAACAGGCCGTGGAGGGATTGGAGAGGATGTCATGAACTCTGTTTCACGCAGTTCGACAACACCACAAATACAATGACCAGTGGTCATTTGTTGGGATGCTGGATACTAACAGTCTTAATAGAAAATTTCGAGTTTTTCCTAAAAACCCCAGAGCCAAATGCAACTTTTTTATTCTTTTGGCAACAAACATTTCCTTTTCCACTGAAGTAAACTGAACTTTCCCTCTGACTTGACTAAGAAATGGGGAAGAAGTTGCTGCTCTTTCCCTGGGTGGGACAGGTTAGCATGGCCGTCCCTTTGGACTGACAGAGGCCCTCTGGACCGACTCCCCCGAGTCATCCAAGAAGCATTCCTCCCTTTCCCACTAACCTCCTTCACTGTCTCTTTTCCCATTCCAGAGAAGCTAGTCTTGGAGCAGAAACAAGCAGCGGCAGCCACCAGCAGCAGCAGCAACAGCTTCCAAGCTCCTTCCTGCCTGCCTTCCCTCCCTCTTTTTTTTCCCCCAAGACCAGGTTTGCAGCCAGAATCCCCGAGAGATCTGTCCTCTCCTAGCTACCGCCCTGCCGGGGGATACCGCAGCAGGGAGAGTTGGACGGGGGCGCGAGCTCTGCAAAGGATCTGGGAAAAGAGGTTCGCGAGGTGTGGAAGGGTGGGGAGCGGGGGAAGCAGAGAGGGGAAACCCCCCCCCGCGCGTGGTTGTATACACAAACACAAACACACACGAGTCCCCACTGCTCTTCACCGGCTCCTGTCTCCTTACCATTGCAGAACTGGAGCAGCGAGGAGGTGTCATAAAGGCTGCTGTAGCTAGAAAATCCGTCCTCCATCCTGCAGCCGGGGCAGCTCCCGATTTACACGGTCTCGGCGGCGACTCGGAAGCTGAGCCTTCGCCGCCGCTGCTGTTGCTTCTGCTCTCGCCGCTTCTCACCCACACACTGAGCTCTAGGGCTGGGGCTGGGGCCGGCCCTGCTGTGGCGGCTGCTGCTGCCGGTTACCATGGCAACCTCCTTCACCCCGCCGGCGCCGCCGCCGCCGCGCGCTCTCCCAGGGCAGCTGCGGCCGCTCGCCCGCCCGCCTCGTGAACGAGGAAAGGACCAAGGCCGGCCCGGGCTGGAAAAAGACCGGCTCTGCCCGGGAGGGGGCGGGCTCGGGGTGGCCAGGAGAGAGAGGGTGGGGGAATTAGGAGGCGAGATGGAGCGGGTAGGCGGGAACCCGGTGGGCACGTATGGGGTGAGGAGACGGTGCGAGAGGGGGACGCTTTTTCCCCAGGAGGAAGCGGGGACCTGAATGACCTCGTCGCCGCCTCCTCGGGCGCGGCAGGTACTGAAGGGGCATAAGAGCCAGCCGCGCCGAGGCGCGGGCACTCCCCGCCCCTCTCCCCGAATAACGGCCCGAGGCCGATCGCGCGCCGGGGAATCTCTCGCGTGAAGTAGCGGCCTCAGCCTGGCTGGGTCAGGCGAAGGAGTGGAAATGGCGGCTGGAAGTAGGAACGAGCTTCCCACTCCCCCCCCCTTTTTTGGGTGAAGAGAACAAAGGAAAGGGAGTGAAGACACCCTCAGTAATTCTAAGAGGATTGGAGGAACTGCGGGAGAGAAGGCGGCGAGACAAAGGGCGGACGGGAAAGGAGCGGGCGCTTCGCCTAGGCGCCGAGGGTCCGAGGCGGGGGCTCGCGCTGGGCTCGGTGCCTGCCCCGCCCCCGGGGGAGGGAGGGGGCCCTCGGGACCGTTAGGGATGCACGTGCCCGCCCGCGCGCGAGGCCCCCGGCAGGGGGGCGGGGCCCAGGGGCCGCCCAGCTGGAAGCCCCCTTGGCCGACCCTCCCCTTCCCACAAAAATACTTTGTTTAAAAAACAAAAATCCCCGAGAGCCCCAGTCCCGGCCTGGAAGCCATTTTCATCGTTTCCAGCACCAAACATGAACACACGTGGACGCCTCCTAAGATGCTTTTTCCACGAGTTTAGCTCAACTTTAGACTTGGCCAAGTCCTGTGGAGCTGGCTTTCGGTTGTTTGCAAGGCTGTCTTCCTTGCAAAGCGTCGCCTCCAAGAGCTGAGGCGGGGGAGGTGGGAGAGAGGTGAGGGGTGTAAGATGCACAAATGATGCTTTGGCCCTCTGACGTAAATCGGCCGTGTCCCCGTTCCTGGGCATTTACAGAGTCTTCATTCAAAATGGGCAATCGTGTATTAATTATAGAACTTAATGAAGTAGTGCCGCACAAATAGTGATAAAGGACAGATGTATTCTATACTCACCCTACCCCTACCTTCCCTTAATTATTTGCTGATTGCCACTAAACTTATTAGAAGACCTAAATAATCAGTCTTCAAAGATTCAATTTTTATTTTTTTGAAGAGTCCAACCCGTCCTTATTTGGTCAATATTCAAAAGTAATTGTTTAGATAACTCAACTTCACCTTTTTTTTCCACTTCGATTTGATATTTGCCTTTTCTAGTGGAAGGGATAACTCTAATGAAAGTGAAACAGCCAGAAAGCTTTCAGGTTATGAAGAGAAGTAAATCACTGGAATACTCCACACACGGGGTAAACTCTCCAAGAACTGATCAAAAAGTGGATAGATGGAATGTTATCATTTGACCCAATGTAGAAATATGTCATTCTATGAAAACCCATTCCCAGTTTTAAGGGTTAATTCTTGGTAAATAACACGATTTAAGTGCCTGCAAAGTGTTGAGTACTGGGGGACTTAAAGGAAAAAACAATGAAAAACAGCTTCTCCTAAGCGTTTGGTAGTATTCCAACTGGATACAATGTATTAGCATTGTATCTAGTCTGAGCAGATGTGTAAATAGAAAATAATTTAAGAGAGAGCTAGAATAACTCTGGGTATTAAAAAAAAAAGCATTCCCTCTGAACTGAACTTTTAAGGAAATTACTAAGAGGCAAAGGTGAAGAGGGAGAGTATTCCAGGCTAGGAGTATTGCCAGGGTGAAGGCCATGGAAGAGAGATGGAATGTTGAGTTCTGGCACAGCCAGTAGGCTGCTTTGGCCAGAAAACAGGGTTGTAAAGTAAGTGCCAGGCTGAATAGGCCTTGTTTTATCCTGGAGGTAATAAGGAACTGCCAAGGGTGTTTTTTTAAGGGTTGGGGGGAGCGACTTAATCAGACGTGTTTAAAGAAATACTAATTTGTAACTCTGGGGAAGATTGATTGGAAAGGAGAAAGAGTCTGGAAGCAAGGAGAATGCTAAAAACACTGTTGGGATAGTCCAGGAAACAGGTGAAAGAAAAGAAGGCCAAATGGAGAGATGATGTTCAAGACAACCCTTTGGCTATGAAGAATGACTGAAAGGATGAATCAGGGAGGACTGAGGTTTCAAACCGGGGTAACTGGAATTTGTAGTGCCCTCAACCAAACTAAGAAAATTTGGAAGAAGTATAAAGTATGAGGTGGGTGTGTTGGGGGACAGGGGCGGTGTTGGGGGACAGGGGCGGTGTGCAATATTTCAACTAAAGTTGGAAACAACTGGAAGTAATATGAGTAAAATCAAAGAAAGACTTTTAGGAAAGCTTCTGGCCATTTTGTGAGGTAGGAAGACAACAGATAGGCAGGTTAATGTGCCACAAAGAACTTCATAAAATGCTCCAAACCAAATAAGTATGTTTTGATAATTCAATGACTTCAGTGCAAATGTGGGCACCATTCTCACGGAATGGTGAGAAATATTTTGGCCGTGTGGCTCAGGTTTGAGATATAACAGAGGCCAAATACTTAAAGACTACTCAGTAGCCATTTATAGAGAATGTATACTTTATTCAAGGAGAATCAGAAAATACTTTATGTGGTGAGCACTAGACAATATCAGAAAAAAAATGAATTTAACAGTCTTATACAGGGAATGACTGATTAGTGATTTGAGAGTCATATCAGAATCAGCTTTGTAGTCAGACCATTACTTAGTGCAAGTTAGAAAAAAAAAGCCTGCAGTTTTAACATTTTGCAATATCAACAGGCTTTGATGAGTTATCAAGAGGTAATGGAATGGGGGAGGGGAGAAGAAAAAGATATCAACCTTGATTGTTAAGCATTCTTGCAAAAATTTACCCAGTGGAAATAAATGACAAGAGGGTGGCCAAAAGAGTCCTTTTGACCAACCTATACATAGACAATTGGATGGCCTATTCATCCAGTTCCTTCAGAAGTATATCTGGGTCCAGTACTGAATAAGAGGAAGAGAGCACTTAGGATTGCATTTTAGGAAATCATGCTTATTAATTATTGTAAGCTAATCCCTAGTGCAAAGACCTACCACTTCAATTAAAATGTTCTCCCAGAAATACATTATGACTGTGAATCCTGGAACACCATCCAAAAAAAATCAAAATTGTAGGTGACCCAAAGAACAATGGAGAGAAATATGGTGTGTACAAGAAGGCTGTGACTTATTTCCAGTCATCAATCCTATAAGTGAAGTAGTTTAAGAGATATTACTTAGTAGATGTGTAAGTGTGGGATAAGAAACACATTCAGAGATTTACTAGTAATGTGGAAATGGAAAGAAACATTCAAAGCCAGGTAGGTGGATTGGTAACTGATCTATGAAGAAGAATCACAGAGGATGAAAAAAGATGGATAGACTATAAGCTGTTGAAATTAATGGGATTCATTAATTCACACATTCATGGAATCACAGATCCATTGAAGTAGTAAAATATGGAAGAAATGTTGAATCTTCATGATAAGGAAATTCAAAGTATCGTATCTGTACTTTTCAGTTGAAAGATCTGAATGATCAGCTCTTTAAGACAAATCATTTAAACATGATAGAATTACTAATTTTTCATAGTAATGTCCAAAGTGCATAGATTGCCACTAGAAAGTTTAACAGGGAAATTCACAAATGAAAAATAGTAAATATATTGCTATTGAATGAAATTATGAGAATAATTTTTTTACTAGTATACAGTTACAAAGCACATAAGCACCTAGTTCAAATGCCTTTGAAATGGAAAATATTGTTATCCTCTAAATCCAGTGTGTGAAATGTTTTTAGCACAATACTAATCTCTAGCTCTAAAACAGCTAAATTTAGCATAATTATAAGGATCTGATGTTATATCAATTAAATATAATCTACACAAAACAAAAATAGTTCTGTGGAAAACTTTTAAGAATAGTCTATGAAAACTTCATTAATAATGTGTGATTTAAAAGCCCAAACATTTTAACTCAAGACTCAAGTCATTTTGAAATAATTTAAGGTGTACTTGCCCTCAAAAAATGTTATATTTGTAATAAATGATTTATGCTGAGACAGTGCACAATAGAAACATGGCTTTTCAGTGGCATTAATAGCAGTGTTCTCACAACATGTGAAGGAGGAGAAAGAGTGCAATTATGTAGTTCCTATTTGAAGAAAAGGGGGGGGCTAGAGACGTGAAACTTAATGTAAAAATATCTAAGTGAATGCTACTAAAATTTTCAGTCAGTGTACTTAAAGTTAATTCACTAAAATCTGTCATTCCACTATTTATGTTGTTAATTTAACAATAAAATTCATCCTGTTATGATAGCATCATTATATGAAGTTAAAGTAATCATAGAAGCTTAGAGATCACCTTGGCTAACCTCTCATCTGATGAAGTAATTCTTTCTAAAATATTCCATCCAGCTTCTGTGTAAATACTTCCAGGGATAGGGATTTTGTGAAGTAACCAATTCCACATTTGGATAGTCAAATGCTTAGCAAATGCAAATATATACACATATGTATGTGGATATGTACATGGATATGTACACACACACATATCTATGTATATACACATGTATGTATACATATGTGTGTATATCAGGCAGAAACTTGTTTTCTTGTGACTTGAATCCGTTAGTCTCAAGTCTGCCCCCCCTTCCATGGGACAATGCTTCAGTTATTTGAAGACAGCTATTCTCCCCCACCCCCACCCCA